TCTCTTGTCTTTTAATAAATTGTTCTTGTGATCCGATTATTGCTCTACTTTTTTTTTATAAGTATTCTATTCAAGTTTTCCAGCATTTGTTGAAGTTTTTGAGTGCAGATCTTTATTGATTTCCGTCAAATAACTTATGTATTACTTTACTTTCTGTACTTGACATTTCTATAGTTTTCTTCTGGAATAGAAGGCAAACGAGCAGACGGATCACCTGATGGTAAGCGAACAGCGCCGCCCATGGACAACCGCACCCGCAACATCAGAAGGGTCACAGATGCGTTGCCGGCCTTGTTGATACAATAATCTTGTATCAAAAATTTTAGTAATAGTGTGCTAATGTAGTTCTGCTAACTGCTTACATACATCTAAATAAGAACAATCGTGTTGGTGTAGGTACATTATTAATTTTGGGAAGATAAGTAGGAGGCAGTGAAAGGAGGATAATATCAAGAAAATGGGAGGGAAGGATCCTCTCGTTGTTTAATAACAATACCAATAGCGATATATTGCAATTAAGGAGATTTATTGCGTAAATAAGCTGAATACACTATTAATTTTTTGCGAGATGGTGCAAGGTCTTGGGTTCAGTTCGGGTGTAAGAAGTTTCTTAATTATCTTCCGTATCTATCTGAATAATAACTTTGTTAAATATTATTTCTTTAATTTCGGTACTTATTGAAACTTATTTCTTTGTTTGTACAAAGTACATACATAGAGGTATTACTTAACTTTTTAATGCGGCATGGTTGATTCATGGTGAAAGTGGCGTATGTCATTGGTTGTCAGAATAACCTCGACCAATGACGGGCAAGAATGCAATTGAGTTCACTTCGAAAGTTCGAATTGACAGTTACAGAATAGCCTAGCAGGTTATCATTAAAAAAAAATTTTAAGGGTGTAAAATCATCTAATAACTTCTCCCGCCTCGGTGACGCAGAAGGGAGTATAAGACTCTCAGACTCTTACTGAATAAAAACGACCTCGTTCCTACTCCTACCCTTCGAGCCGGAGACCCGGCAACCCGTTAAGTCCTCCGCGGCTCTGTATCGGCATCAGCCCTAGTGGGCCCCCATCCGTGGTGGTCTGATGGCTCGTTGAGGCGCGCGCGGAACGCGACGTACGTCGTCTGCCCGACCAGAACCAGACCAGGGGGCTTACTCTTGAATCCAATTCCGATCGATCGACATTGGTATTGTGAAATTTCATACTCTTGAGTTGCAACACTAGCGCCCATTGCATCCGTATTGCGTGGATACTGAATGAACTAAATGGTATTGAGTTTGGCTTTATATTCCGTACTCTTAACGCTATTTTAACAGCTACGATAAGGGTTGTATAGTTTTGACATTGAATAATTATTGAGATTTTATTGGATTGAAATTGCATTGACATTGAGATTGGTTTCAAGAGTAAGCGCCCTGGCATTTAACATTAAAAGTATGATAACACAACTAATATATCCAAAACATTTATGTTACGTAGTTTTCCTAAAGTAAGTGACTGCGTTGCAAGTTTGTGCGCTCTCGCTTTTCAGTAATTACATTTAGCGCGCATGGACTTGTACTTATAACTCTACACACAACCAGTATAAACTGACCGTTCAATGTGCAGAAAGATCATACAAAGCCAGACCATGATACAGTGGTTTTGTATAGGTTGACGTGTAGCCATGTGTTTGTAATGCAGACTATAAAAGCGCGATGCTTTGTACAAAAATATGTTATTTTTCAATTTTTGATGCTGCACTAAAAATTAAGTCTGAAAAGTGGAAACAGTATATGTTTGTGTGGATTTTTTGTGAATACAAAGATTTCTTTTCAGTTGAAATGTGAAGGGGACGTGAGAATTACTGTTGCTTTCTGTTTTAGTTCATTCATTTTGGTAATACCAAGTTGTTTTATGTCATAGTTGCCTCATATGCAACTATCAACAGGTTATATAAGCACTTACTTGTTAATTAATAAAACATAGAGCAAATTATTATCATTAGATGTTGAAAAAGTTATGTAGGAGTCGTAGTAATTGGCGTTCCATAGTCTCTGCCTACCCCCATGGGAAACAGACATGTATGTGTGTATGGTGAAAAATCACATCAAGGTTTATTATAAAAATTTACCCACATTATGTAATGCTTAGTCAAACATTAGTACCTCCTAAATCTATTTTTGGAGCTAATTTCAACAATATTACCGGAATATGACGCTAGATTACGCGACTTTATGGTTTCGGTCTACATTATACAATACCTACTTACTATTAGGCCTATAATTATTTTGACCTATATCGTAACGACCCAAACTAGAATACCAACTATTTACAAGAACTCAGGCGTCAATGGTTAAGCGTATTACACAAGATCTTCTAATCAATGTGATGAGGCCACAACACAGGGTCGAATGTGCAGACTGTGGCTTCCCTAACAGTAATGTGCACTCTCCTTAATTATACTAAATGCACAATGAAGGCTGGATTTACGGCCCGACGTCGCTGTCGAGTCTTCACAAACAATATATAATCGTACCTGACGCGAGAGCTTTTCAACAGATTACAAAAGTTACCGAAGAAGCGATAATAGAGGCCGAACGAGTGTCGGAATAGAAACTGTCTACGTTTTCGTCTCAAAGAGAAATCTCAATTCGTTCTACTGTTAAATGTGATGTGATAGATGATATTGGACTTTTCGTTGTAACGGAAAGTTACTTGTGGAAAAAGTTACGTCTACTCTTACAAGCTTAAGGAAATTCTTGTATCTCGAAGATTGTCTTTTTATGGCAGCCGCGTTAAAAGTTTTCAGTGGCGCGCTGATAGCCAATAATTTATAAGATTATTTTCGAAAATGAGGTGTTATTAATGTGCTGAAAATCCTATCTATGTAATAGAAGTTTTTATAAATTGAACAGCATTCCAAAATGAATATTTATCTATACTATCTATACATCTATGCTAATATTATAAAGCTGAAGAATTTGTTTTTTTGTTTGAACGCACTAATCTCCGAAACTGCTGGTCCGATTTGAAAATTTCTTTCTGTGTTGGATAGCCCATTTATCGAGGAAGGCTATTAGGCTATAAAATATGACGCTACGAGCAGAGCGAGTGAAACCGCGTGGAAGAAGCTAGTTTGTGTATAAGTTCACAGAAGTTTAGTCAAAACCAAAGATCATATTCATTAGCCGCGACATAGTCAACGTATTACTAGACATGTTTCACCATGACATTCATAAAAGATGTTATCAATGAAGCGGCTAATTTATCCCAATGTTATTAGTATCATATTTAGTAGTGCAATCGGGTCTAATTAGCAACTGTGATTATTTGGGCGTATAATACACCCGCGTTGCGGTCATGTTAATTATTGACAAACTTGTAGGTACCTAACCGGGTTCACATTCGTATCGGCCATTGTGTTAATGATTATGGCATCGTTGTGACCGATATGGTATAATTAAATTGTTCCCGTATTATTTTGACTTTAGCATAGTAACAGCTGGCATGGCGGCGCGCTGGATTACTCAACCCGATGTTCCTCGTGGGTCCTATTTTTATACGAGTAAAGGTAAATAAATTGATGTTACGATAGATCAATGGTTTATTGAGTATTTTTTGGATGATGAAATTTTGAGGAGGTGTATTTATGCTTCGCGTATCGGTAAAACTTAGTCAAGATATAAGATTATCTCATTTATGCTCTTATTTAACTTTCGTTTAATGACAGCTGTTCTTTCTAAAGTACCCAAAAGTAAAGCTCTACATACAGTAGACAAGTTGAATACTATGTACTACTAATTATACTTGAGTCATTCTGCTGCTAGAACACTATTTCGATTACTGAAATAGCATTCAATAAATGTAATCCTACCCACAACATAGGTCAATAATTATTTTATACTCGATAATTACAATGTAGATATCTGTCCAAAAAAGGCAAGGTATCAAAGCCGTATAATATTATGCGAGATACATTAAATTTAATGACAATAGTAATGTTAATGAAAAACAAACAAAACGACTTGAGTCACGCAACGAGGTTATCTTCGTAAATGTTTCTATTTAATTGTGATGTTTGACTTGCCTTCGATTTTTGAATAAAGAACATTTCTGGCATAAAAGTTGGTAGAATTTGGGATTAGTGTGGCAACCCTGAGAAATGGGAGGAATGGAGGATGGAATTGGAAAAGTTGAGGCGGGGCGGCGGCTCGCGAGGATTACTGCTGGCTGTTTGGCACATTGCGACGTGTACAAAGTTTCATTGGTACCTACGTCACTACAATGTCTGTTTCCTTGGAACTTGCATATTTTCCTTTCGAAAAGTACTTTTCAAAATGTGTTTTTCTCCGACCAAGAATGCTGACTTGATCCTTACCTTACTGGAAAAGTTTGACACAGTTTTTTGTCGAGATTGTGTTGCTTGTTAGAAAACAGCCGGCCTTGGGGATGGCCTACTTGGATACCTGTTTTAATGATGATAACAGTATCAAAATACAATAATAGTTAAGAGTTGTCCTTTGTCCATGTCAGCCATTACTTTAAAGTAAATATATTTTGTTTTACTATAAAGAAACATTTTGTTTGGTTTGATTTTCCAGAAATCAGTACTTAATGAATACGAAATGTATTTATTTATTTTCGTGTGTTGAACATTCAAAGATAAAATTTATATTTTATATTGACCTTGCGTTCCAACCTATTTATCAGTGTTCGTCACGTGTGTATGTCAAAGTAAGTTGTTTGTAAATGGTGAAATACATGGAAATATTAATTTGAGACAATCACGCCCGAATACTGAAAGGCAAATTTTAAGTTGTGCCTTCTCTGTCATTTTATATCATTTTTCTTGATATTATGATAACCAAATAATTTCATATTTTGATAACCAAAGAATTTGTAGTAACATAACTATATAAGCGCGACGTAAAATTGAGTGACGTTTGAGTATTTCATCGTTAATTAGCAATAATGTGATACTTATATTAAAAAATACCGGTGGCAATGATCTACCATTTTACTATTTTATTTCTTTACTACATGAAGCTGTATTTTGGACTTTGTAAGCAGATTAATTAATCACATTGTGCAATAAACATTTATTTCTTCATTTCTTCATGTTCCGCATTACAGCAAAGGCTTTGTACGACCAGTTGATGAGCTGAAACAGAAAGAACCGTAATACGACGGTTGAAGACATCATAACGTTAATGACGAACTCATTGGAATAATGATAATAGGGTTTTTTGATTGCAATTTTTTATATTAGAAGGGTATGGGAATTTTCGTCTGGTCTAGTTATAATTAGTAAAAACCTACTAGCAAAATGTTCTATAACAAAAGTACAAGTGATTCTTTAAGAAACTATGATATTATGTATGTAAGTGTTTGTATGTAGATAAGCAAGGTACACACATGCTCTAAAATGGCGAGCTCAGTGGAGAATGCTTAAAAATCGAACAAACATGTCTGAAATGAGCATGCTAATTTGAGCAACATTCCAACACACATGCTACTAAGTGACAAATCCTCAATTAAAGCATGCCTTTGTACTTGAAATTAGCATGTAGGTATGTTTTTTATGGGATAAACCGGTGAACGAGCAGATGGATCACCTGATGTTATACAATCGGCGTCACCTGCGGAACACGAGCGGCGCTACAAGTGTGTTACCGGCCTTTTGAGATTAGGGATTTGAGGATTGTTGGGGATTCAGGAATGGGGAAAGAGGGGGGAGGGGTGATTGGGCTTCCGGTAACCTCATTCACACGACGAAACACAACGCAAGCGTTGTTTAACGTCGGTTTTCTGTAAAGCCGTGGTATCACTCCGGTCGAGCCGGCCCATTCGTGCCGAAGCATGGCTCTCCTTTTTTTTTGTTTTGATGTAAGTAGAGGTTTCGAAATAGACTTATTAAACGTAAGCTTAGTTAGTGCTTCCATAAACAAAGTACCATTATCTCATTTGAATAAGTAAACCGATCTCAGTAATGAAGTGAAATAGATAACTAAGACCGTATTATGCGTATAATATTAACCGGTTCTAATTAATTAAATACATACATATATCCGACTCATTGAGCTTTGGATGTGTAATCCTGTAATAAGCTGGATTCGTGCTGAACTAAGCTGGAAGCGGTAGCGGGCTTGATTTTCATTTGTTTTAGTTTGTTTTACAAGTAGGTCTTTCGAAATACATTGAGGTTAAGGACTTACGGCGCGATTTTCTCCCGCGCCCACTGAGCCGCCGCCGTCAACGCATATCAATCGATTTAGATGTGGCAACTATTGTTTGAGAACGTCAAGTAATTACTTGAGGATGGTTAGCACGGAGTAATGACAACACACATGGAAATATCGATCCGGAAGTTTAATCAGACTTTGACATTTGACAGCAAATGACGTTGACAGACGTCACTGGGCGCGGGAAACATTTTTGGAAAGGATCGCGGCGGTGGCGGCGGCTAAAAGCGTTACTCCCTGCTAAACTTCCTGCGTTCTCACAATTATCAGTAAATTGGTGATTTGGTGTGATTCGATAATGTCGCGACCCACTGGTAGCGTATCTCCGACATATTATATATGTTTATGTAAAAATTCAAAGCAATTTTCACAGTGCGTTTTAGGCTCGCGGCTGTTGCGATTGTTTGCGGTTACCGCTGCGGTGACTGCGTTTTTTTTATACGCACTGGCAACACGCGTATTAGGAACGCGTGTCTTCGGCGTCGTAAACGCTTATTGCTACGTTTGCATTGATGATACAAGCGCGCATAAAGCGTCTGCGCATCGCTTGCGTGTATAGAAATACGCCGTGTGCTATGGGCCTAAAGAACAGTTGTAATATCACCGTGTACCGTGGAGTCTTGTGTCTTATTCTTACTAAGGTCACTGTTACAATGCTATATGGTGGGTCTTTCTAATATTAACTGGGTATAGCTAGGTGCGACCCTTATTTACTTATGCCCCCGAAGAGGGTAAGTTATTATTAGTAGTTTGTAATATAGGGCGACACAGATCATCATATTGTTGTTACATTTTTAATCAGAAGTGGGACGCGTGGTTCCATAATTGAATTACATTAACGAGTTTATTATTTCGATCCATAAACAAACACATAATATTACTGTTACTACTACGGGCCCTTGACATCTTGAAATCATTCGAGTTACCTCGTCAAACAGTTAAGTAGGTGGCTTTTTCATAATATAATTTATTCTGATACAAAATAGTTGCATTCAATCGTAACATAATAAACATTCTTTATCTGTCAATAAAATTGCAATAGTTAGCCGTATTCGTACATTTGTACATTGATAACACGACCCGGTGTGAACGGATCCCGAAATATATACAATGCTGACACTGACAGGTGTGAACGCCATCATACAGTGTTTTTTGCACGAAGCTTTCAACGCGCCGCGACGTGACCGCGTGGTTTTATGGATTGACCTTTGCACATGCAAATTAGGATTTGTGTACACCAAGTAAACTAGACACGTGTTTTTATGTTTGGAGTGATCAGAGAGCATAGGTGATAATGGACCGTTATTTTGTAGGTAAACAAAACGTCTATAGTTTGATTTTGGGACCTAAAGATTGAAATTGATAGAATGAGTAAGGTAGGTACATACATAAAGTCAGTATCTAGTATACTTATATACGTTCACATTTAACACAACACAACATAACTTCACGTCTTTTATCCCCATAGGGGTAGGCAGGCAGTGCACATTATGGTACTGCCACTATACAATGTAACACTCACTTTTCACTATTTATGTTATGAGTCCCATGTAATAGGCGGAGAGTATATTTTTACACAAACAAGGTTTTAATATTACTACACTTCTGTCTGTATATTCCATTCCGAAGAAACAGGTGCGGCGTTATATTAAACAAATCTGGAAGCGGATAATCCGCGGCCTCCGTGCACCATCCTTACTCAAGATACGTCTGATGAGATTTAGTTTTCCAATTTAATTTGCCTCATTAGAAACTCTCAGAAAGTATACTTTGCACAGCAGTGCGCTGTAACTCAGCTTTTCTCTTGAATATTTAATCTTAGGCTATCAGATTACATAAATAATTTACGACTTGAGAATCACTTTGTTACACAGCAAAAGCATCTTAAAGCTAACTGAAACAGCATTAATTTATTATACCTATTGTTGTAAGTGTGCTGACTGGGATCATGAAAATCTTAGCGTAACTAGAATGGATTGGGCTTGAAACTAATTAATTCAATAGCACTAACAACGATTTGCTATTAATTAATCAAGCGATGACCGTATTTTAGTAGTTGTTGAGTGATTTCGTCCTTGAAATGCGAAACTGTAAATTGATTTGAAAGGTATAATTACTTATTAACCGTTCGTTAAAAAGGTTTTCTAAACTATGTTGAGCTTGGCCTACAATCGTAATCAGGTTTGAATGGACATTCAGTGTATTAGGTAAGTGGTGCGACTGTTAGTAAAACTTCTATGGATTCTTGTTCTCTAGGACATAATCGAGTCTCAATATTTTATCCTGAAGGAATGCCATGTCTCACATATCGCCTTTTTTACATTACGCCTTTTAGTCCCGAAGGAGTAGGCAGAGGTGCACATTATACCACTGTACAATGTAACACCCACTTTTCACTATTTATGTTATGAGTCCCATGTAATAGGGGGTGCGCCTATTGTAATATAAAATAAAATATATAAATATAATATAAATATAATATCGATAGCGAAATACATAAAAAGCAGTGCTTACAACTGTATAGGTGTCGAGTGACAAAGTGAATATCTTCCCAGCTGTCAGCCTCATGGGTCGTTTGCATCTTTCCAGGAATATAATGATAAACATGTTGGACTTGCGGTCACTGTTCATCCATGGTCCTTCGAAAGCTGCTTTCGCTAAGTCCATACTCTGTAAGAAAAAGTTATTTTATTTTAAATTTCACTATGCCAATAGTTTATCAATTAATAACTTTTTATGATACTTGTAGATAACATCTAGACGTAGGTAACTTTAATAATATATAATATCTGTACAACTGATCGCAGTCGGTATGTAAGATAGTTTGCAAGTATGTAAAACTCTTCCACTTATTGTATAAAGTTTCACTCAACATTCATCTAGTTTCTCATACGAGAGGCATAAAGTTGCTGCAACGTAGCGCAGAGGCTATTTATTGGCTCTATCGCTTGCATTGCAATTACCTTCCAGATCAGTTCGTCCCCGAACCAGCAAAGTATGAACACTTCAATCAGCATGCAGGTTAGATATATGCCCATCCAAGCTATCTGCATCGGATGACTTGTTGGGTTCTCGATCTGTGCACGAAAGCGTAACAGTGATTTAAAAATCGTAACTGATCTGCACATCAAATGTTCTCGAAGATTTCCATAGCATAACATAACATCACGACTTTTATCTCCGAAGGAGTAGGCAGAGGTGTACATTATACCACTGTACAATGTAACATCCACTTTTGACTGTTTATGTTATAAGTCCCATGTAATAGGGGGTGAGCCTATTGCCATATACCGGACACAATTCCAGACTTTTTTTCGTGAGATTTCGTTCACAATTCCGTTCTCCTACTGATAATTTATAAAATCTCAGTAGTACTTTGCCCGACCCGTGAATCGAACCCGAAACCCCTTGCCCGGCAGTCGTACTTGCGACCACTCGGCCAACGAGGCAGTCAGTAGAGAAAGATTTTCCTTATTTCAATTTCGATTCAAATTCTTCGATATTTCTGTTTAAAGCTACTGTGTTGTCTTCTAATTCGATCTTGATTCTATTATATCGATATTATTTAAGGAGTGAGTGTAGGTCTGAGTATCTTTTTGACGGGTCCAAGAAAAGGTAATTACATTTCTAGGAAAGACACTCAATCTGTAATTACTTAACTGATTCTTCGTGTTCTTTTTTGATACCTTTATAGGTGTACTTTATTTATTTACTGTGAGAGAATTGAATTTATTTAATATATCGGATTACTTTGCCAATTTTCTCAAGTATTATATGATTCCTAAGAAAAGATCATTAAAAGCTGAAGACCTTATTATTTTTATTTTTTTTATATTTGAAGGGACGACGTTTGTCCACTCCATCCCACCTGGTCGTAAGCGATGATGCGGTATACGATGGAGGTCGTCATCCCATAAGTGACCTATTCACTCGGGCCTTGAAGACACCCAGGTTATTTCCCTTCAGGTAATATAGACTCTGGCAAAGAATTCCACTCCTTAGTATACATAAGAAAGCTTGATGCGAAGCTATTTTATTTTGGTATTTTGAATCTATAACCATGACCTCTTCCTACGTTACACAGAAATTGACTGTTTCATTAAGGTCCGTGGGTGGTACGACAGTGGCATACACCTTAGCCCTTCGGGAAATATAAACAAAATTTGTTATTACTAAATTGATTCTTAATAACTGATGGCGTGCTGTGGGCGTTTGAGTAGCGTGGTCATTGAGACGATTGACGCTATATAACCTTACCTTACTCCTACGCATAGATTGCCACTCAAAGCCCTATAACCAATTTTCATTATCACCATCGTTTGAATATCATTAACAACACCCGTTTCGGAAACTGGTGATTAATCTTGATATTCATCCATCTCATCTCATCTTGTTATCACCACTGTCTGATGCCGTGTTAGAATCGTCAAGTTGACACTCTGTATTCTAGGGATGTTTTACTAAAAATTCTGTTCCATTTGTAATATCAATACTGTGGTAATTCGTTTGAATAATAATAATAAGTCAGGCCAAACACAAATTAATTAATAACTTGCTGAGGCTGCGTCAATGTTATAGAGCTGTTGGTAATACTTGAGATGAATAAAATGTTTTAACTGTCATAATTTTTTTAAAAATTTAGATGAACATAGATATAAAATATTATAGTACGTACCGACAGGAACTGAATGCCGATCAAACAAAGCACCATCACGCTCAGCATGAACTGCAAAGCTGACGCCAAACTAAAAGCGCTCTCAATCATCGACACGTATCTGAAAATCAATTTGTTTTACAACATTCGTTTACGAAGCAAAAATAGTGTCATCTATTTTATCTGGCCAAATGAAATGTAAAAATGCGCTGGAATATTCGAAAAGTTAAATGAAAAATCATAATAGATTTATTTGAGTTGTAATATTTGCTATCCTCTATGTTTAGAATGAAATTACAAATAATATTATTTAAATATGAAAAAAGTATTGAAATCATTTAGCATTTTATCATACATACATACATAACATCACGCCTTTTATCCCCGAAGGGGTAGGCAGAGGTGCACATTACGGCACTTAATGCCACTGTTAAATGTAACACCCACTGTCCACTACTTATGTTATGAGTCCCATGTAATAGGGGGTTAGCCTATTGCCATATACCGGGCACAATTCCAGACTCCGTGCTACTAGTGAGTATTTTCAAAACCCAGTAATACTTTGCCCGACCCGGGAATCGAACCCGAGACCCCTTGCCCGGCAGTCGCACTTGCGACTTGCGATAATGGAACTAATACTTGACCTAGGTGATTCGAGGCATAACATGCGCACCTAAAATTAAAACCAAAATTAAATTTATTTTTACCCAAAAACTTTCATTCACACAGAGCCAAAGTAAAAATCATTTATTCCAATGAGACCAGGAAGGCACTTTTGAACGTCAAAATAAACACATGTATTACAGTCCTATCAATCCTTTACAACACTCCTAATAGAGTTGGAAAGATTAACCTCTCACTCATACCAAGTATTGACTGTTCAGATTGCAGAAGTCAGAGCCGTATTTATGCCTAAGGGAAACTAGGGAAGTGTCTAGGGCGCCAAGTTACAGAGGGGCGCCCGCTTCGACGCCGACGAGACGCGCATGCCCAAAGAGCGCCAAAAAATTAAAGGCGCCTACGGGGTGCTTGCCTAGGGCGCCCTCTAGGTTTAATCCACTTCTGTCACAAGTAGTTGCCTGAACCCACACGGCGCGGTACCAGTGTCTTGCCGTCGGCAGGTGCTATTCGTGCCTGATACGATCACCCCTTTTCCTCACTTAACATTTGCCCGCGTAGATACACCGCTGATACACTGTTTGTTGTTCTTTAGAACCTAGATTAGCTCAATTTACTAGACCAATACTGAGTCAGTAAAGTTTTGAATGTAGAATACAATTATCATTATTTTCTTGCAAAGAATATTCGTAGGTACTAAATTAATCAAATAATTATTTTCGTTTAGTTTTCACAATGGAGTTTGTTATATGAACATATTTTTCAAGTTATTTAAATACTTCTGTATTACGTAGAGTCTTCAAGAAATAGCTTCTAAGAGAACAGTCACCTCAAGTCCCCTGCAACTAGCGCTAAAACCTTCACGTATCGCGCATTTTACAACACTTTTCATTTGCTTGTGCTTTTACAAAAGCTTTAAATATACTAAGTAGAATATGTAGTTATTACCTTATAATGCAGTTGTGGTGTACAATACAGTCTTTCAGTACTGAACGCACGTAGTACGGTGGTTTATATTCCTCAATATACTTGTTTTCAGCAACGTCCCTTTTGCGTTGTCTTTCAGCCAGAAGTTCGAAGTTTCGCAGATTGAAGGCTAATATTTCTATTTGTCCAACTGTTAAAATATAATTGAAGTATAATGTTATTCATGACTTATTTATAGCCGTAGCCGTAGCACGTCTACAAAACCGCTACGATTTTTCGTAGCGCGTAGAGTTGGCGTAGCAATGCTTCACCTTATCGACGACGGATGCTTTATTGTCCAGTTTATTTATTTCAAAGTTTACATTTAAAGTATTACATTCCTAACAAGATATCTGGTTACATTTCAAGATAGATTAACTTTATCAAACGTTACTAAATGATTAATAAAATATGTACTTAAAAATTGGATAATATTTGTTATAGCACTATTTCTAAACAATGTGATAAATAGAACGTAATTTATAATAATATTAATCTTACTAGCTGAAGCGACGAAAGCTGCCAATATTGTGTCCATAACTCCATCAATTATACAAGTAGCTGGCTTGTAATAAATCTAAAAACAAAGTGTACACTTAAAGGTTAACAAAATGTTCTGCGAATTATTTTAATTAAACTAGATTTTATGTACAAAGATTAATATTTCTGATATACACATTGTTACAATAAATTGTTTATTTAGGTCTAAAACTATTAGTAAAACAGTTGCTAATATGTTTTCTTTAATACGCCAATAGTTTGTTTTGAAAATTTTGTACATAAAACAGTATTAATTGAATTAGTGTATCGATTTGAAGATTAATCGAGTTTTTTATCTTTGTGTGAGCAGTTTAACTTACGTGATGGATGTAGACGGCCTCGTATGCTGGCGTCTGGTAGACGTTGAAGAAGGGATACTCCACGTTCGTTGGTAGAATGTCGAAGTTTTCAGTCAGAGGCATTATTATTCCAACTACCAAGAAATATAATGTACATTCATATAGAAAGCTAACTTAAATATAAATATTGAAGTAAGTCTAGTACTGTGTGTACATTATACAGCATTTGTATCATTAGTTTTGTTATTTGTAACAATTACATGCTCCACTGTTCAAATACATTTTATCATGTCAACAATTTATAAAGTCAAATCCGTTTTATTTTGATTCAATTACATTGTGTATGTAACAAATATTTGTTTATGAAAACTAACCTGATACTGCTCCGACGCACATAGTGGAATAGTAGGTCATCACAAAGCGAGCACTTTTAATGCTTTTTATTATTATATCTCTGTGCTCCGGTTCCTTTGGCTTGAATTCCTCGCAATGCAAATACTTCAAAAGATCGATCACTTTGTTCCTGTTCAGCCAGAACACGGCGACTTTAAAGTAGGTGTACATTTCACTCAGAAACAAATACAAACTGAAAAAAGACAATATATCATATGATCCGATTGTCTTGTTTAGTTGGAAGTATCAAAACACGACAGATAAACAAAATGTAAGTGAACTGGGAAATATCTATTTACCCCTCGGCGACATCACCAATATTTTCTCTGCGCCTCAATAAATAAACGACTTCTCCAATACCGGGGAAAAAACATACAAGCCATAAAACGATCAACGTGTACATCATCTGCACCCAGAACTTGATACTCTGTGGCGAGAAATGGTTGAACCACATGCCGTAAAACTTGAGCCAGTAAATGTGGACCGCATGGTACAGTCGGGGGTTGAGGTCCTCCCAAGATTCAAACACGCCGTAGGGCACCATAGGCGACAGAAACGCCAATTTGCTTTTCATATTTTCATTAAGAATTATCATTTTTCTTCATAAGCCCTCCGCGAGTGAAGCCTTTGACGAGTAATATAAGAATGCTTCTTATACCTCATCATATTATGCCCCTTTGTACATAAACAGAATGAGAGAGCGACATTAAGTGGATGTTATACATTATGTTGTGATATTATTAAGTGGAAGCGCTCCGTGACAAAATCTAAGTATTGCAAGCGGTGATGCCAAAAGTGACACTTAGTATCGAACATATCATTAAGGAAGTGATACGGGGACAGTAAAGTGAGCTGAATAAGATCAGTTTTCATATTTGACCACTTTTTGCCATCATTAGGTACACTTTGTGCTACTGCCAACTTTGTTTCTACTTTACTACATACTCAGCTCTTTCGTTTTATTATCGCTTACATTTTATTTCAGCGTGGGTTCAGTACCATGAGATAACGTCTCAATCGTGTGTAACACTTTAATAGTTTAACATCTCACTTATTATATAAACTTAGCGCTTTCTGCCTACTCCCACACGGGACTAAGTCTTGAGTTTGTGTATGTATTATTCGTGTGTCGGGTAATGTGCAGTGAACGTAGGAAGCCTCAATACCTGAGCGACGCGACGTGCAAATTGTTGAAGAAATATTTTACACCGTTGTCAGCTTTCTACAGAATTCAAATATATTGAGCATAAACTTAAACTATGAAAAGCACCCCCTTAAAAAGAGTTAATTTAATATGTCGACAAAAGCAATTATTATAATTACAACAGCAATGTAATTACGGTTATAAGAAAAGGCACCGCTCTCTTAACTACGTATAATTGTGTTTTCAAAGGGGCTTTCAGATATTCATAATTTTCGAGTGGGGCACAAAGAAGATTTCCAAGCAAATAAGTAGATTGATGAATATAATACATCGCATTTTCTTTGAAAAGGGGAAAATGTAATAAGTGCCGCAATCATGTGAACTTAGTACAGTTGTGGCGAGTATCGGCGGAGTAGGATTTTATTAATATCAATAAGTTATGTTCCTTGATATTAGGGGATAAGAGAATTATTTCTGTCTATTAACCCCTGGGCGAGGCGAGGGGTGTTATAAGATTGATACATTGTATTTGTATGTGTGTCGTATTTTATTAGCAAAAGTTTCGATTATATTGGAACACTTGTACTAAATGACTTTTGTTTTAGAGTAATATTCATTGTCTAATCTCCCGATGTTGACATTTCTGCGATAGAGATGGATATGACGGACAACAAACTAACTAATGAACTTTAAGATTACTAAAGTTCGTGTGTGTGATCATCGCTATGTCCAAACAAGTAATTCGAAGCAATATGCATATTTATATGTCCAAGATTACGTGACTTATAATTTGAAACAATCTATGAAAACGGGGAGAATCATTTGAACTGTCACTTAACAAAGTCTTTCTCATTGGCTCCACGTTATTTCATGTGCCTTATCTTATGATGAGGCTTCAAACGATTTCAATATACCAAATCAGTTTACTTTTTATATCTTTTTTCTTTGCTTGGAACATGTGGCTGCGTAACGAAATCGATTTCGATACGATTCGATTGAAATATTGTGCTCATTTTCAATTTCTACCCCAAGAAAGGTTTTATTAAAATCATTATATGCGAATTTCTTTTTTGATTAAACGTGATATTGGACAAATGGATAATCAATTCCGTGTAGATACAAGGATGTGTTGATTTTATTCTTGAAGATATTTTGTCATAGAGTGTACTATTCTAATACGGATTTAAAGATATTTACGTATACGTATCACGAGTATTCTGATTATAACTGTATTTGTTTAATTGATTGTATTCTAACAGTAACAAAATATAATGAATCAATCAAAATAGGACCGCACGAGTCCCTATTTGGTTTGCGTTGTGGGACGAAAAATAATAAATCATCTGTCAAATGTGGAGGTACCTTTCAGCGATGAAGGGCGCTGACTGATCGTCGGCTTACACAAAATATATTATGCAAAAAAGTGATAAAATATGAAACGATTTATGTGATTCGCGCTGGGGTGGTCGATTTGCATAATCACCGTTCGCGCAGGCCCCACACAATATGAAATACGTGATCTCCCAAACAATCCCAATAAAAATACAAGTAAAATATGCGTTAACAGTTTCATCAACCGCTAGACACCTGTTATTGACAGCGACTACCGCAGACACTGAAATATTTGCTCCTCAATAAAAGTGAAAACACGACAAAACAAAGGTTATAAAAACCACTTTATTACTACCTACACAGAACCAGAAGTGCTTCGAGTACATAAATATACTTTTATGACATTTGTGAGGCTTTATTGTGTCATTACGTATGAGAAAAATTATTTTATATTGTTTCAAAACACAGAAATGAAGACAAATGAGTATAAGAGATTGTTGAGTGATACCTGTTTTCTTTGTATAAATTATTGTACTTTTTATTACATTTATTTATATACATAAATTGTTCCGTTTGTCAAATTTGTGAAAATTGTTTCATTTGTTAGATACGTGGTTAGATGCATGTTGTCCAATTAAATAATTTTTGGTAGTAGTAGAATATATATATCGGTTTTGAAATAATGGATGCGTGTTACTGTTATGAATATTTGTATGAAAATTGTCGAAATAATGTTTTCCTATTGTTTTTGGAAACATGCACATTGGCCAGGGCCCAGGTATTTATGGAACACTACAATTTTACATTGTTCAGTACAATAATAATTAAAGCAATCGATATGGGATAATCATGCGATCTTTTGTTGACAGACACCATAGTGCTTTTGCTGCAAACACAGATATACAACACCAGGAAAATTGTTTGCACTAATTTGTTCCGACACTAGTTGTTGTCCGTGACTTTGTTTCATATGAATCCGTGGATTTATGCTACAAAATGAAAAAATGACGTCCGGGTTGGCCCAAGCTCATTTCTCAAATGAAATAATTTTACTGACTAAATATACCTCTCTCGCTCGTTTATTAAAGCTCTAGGTATTTCGATGGTCTCTCCAAGTCCGTGGAAATCCAAAATTCTGTTTGCGTAACACCATTTCAGCGTCCATAATTCAACTTAAAACGGATTTAAACAGTGTATTTGCGATCTAGATATCGTTTATTATAATTGCAGATCGTGCTGGAAATTTCAGCGGGTACGGTGAGGTAAGTGTTTGAAGACATTTAAGGTATTTGTATCGCTTACAATTCTTCTGTGCACATCCGACGGTGGGTGAGACAAATGGGTCGTTTTCACGCGATACTTCGCCATTAATTAGAAACAACGCGTGCAGCGGCCCCCCGATTGCTATCTGTCAGCGAACACGCGAATGCTTGTTCGCCACACCATATCGGCGGTCAAGAGTCAGTTCGCCTGATAGCACTATAAATGCTGTACATCTTGAACAACATGTTTATTGCTCACTCCACTATATTTATCCTCCATACAACCTGAGAACTTATCATTACCTGCCTTATACTAGAGACATGTAAAGGTGATCGAGGATACAGGGCAGTTAGGGATTAGGATTCAGTCTCTTCTATTTTAGCCCTAGGGATCCACTAGCGTAATGTGAGACGGGTATCACCACCGCCTTTTACTCTTCTACTCGTAAATATGAATTTGTTTCAGTTTAACGATCCGCCAGGGAGCTAACTTAGGGCTATTACATACAAAGTGCCGCTAGTGACGGGAGGATTTTGCGGCATCGGGCACTAAATAAAATTCGGTAGACCTTTTTTCAATACACAGTGTATTTTCTAAATATTTTCCTCATTGTTATTCTGCTTTCCTATCAAAACACATTTTGACACTTTTGGGCTTGCTATGTTAAAGATTGTTATATTAAACAATGTTACCATCAGTGACTAAAACAGAATATAAAAGAATTGTACATTTGCAAGTGGACGTACGTAATTAAACGACTAATTACCAGCAATAATTAATACGCAAACATTAACACGACCAAATGAAAACATTGCATGAAATATGAATAAATCGGTGAGCAAGTATTTAAGCTTCAGCGCACGACGGAGTGTAAATTATTGTGTAGTGACGTGAAAAATATATCTCGTTTATGCACCGCACAAAGGAACTATGTAGTTGCGCGAGGTACTTTACAAACTCGGTCGAGTGCTCTCCTGATACGTGTTGAGCCTTTACAGATCAACTTTGGAGCGCCGACGCTTTGTATGTATCTAGTATGAATTAAGACCCAACTACTAAGTTTGTACCGTTGTTCAAAGGCGCAGTTCCTTCAGTGGAAGGATCGTGGGTCAGATACAGGTCTGCAAAGTTCATTGCAATTGCGATGACAAGTGTGCGTGTTCACGTAAACTTTTGAAGTCCTTACAAATTGCATGAACCCCAATGCGTATATTTATTTGTCAATCGACTTTGATTTAAAAAAAAATGTTGAACAGTTTTTTATACGACGGTTATCTGTGATACTCTAAGTGTGGGAGAGCCATGTTTCGGCACGAATGGGCCGGCTCAACCGGAGTGATACCACGGCCTCATAGAAAACTGACGTGAAGCAACGCTTGCGTTGTGCTTCGTCGTGTGAGTGAGGTTACCGGAGGTCTAATTATCCTCCCCTTCCCCAATCTCCCCAATCCCTGAATCCCCAACGGTCCTCAAACTCCTAATCCCCAAAAGGCCGGTAACGCACTTGTAACGCCTCTGGTTTTCCGGGTGTCCATGGGCGACGCGAAGGTTCTTGCCGCGAGTGAAGCTATGCAGTTAATTTTCCAAACTCATATAATCAGTCAATCAAATTATGGATTAAGTTTAAAAATCTATCTAACTTATCACTCACCTTACCCGAACTATGTTTAAAGATCTGCTATAGTTCGTTTTTCATTTACTAAGAAATAAAATGCTAAAGGTATTAAAATAATAATTTTGTGTTCATGTTTCTGGCAAATTAATTTCTAATTAGAGTGGGAGCCGATCCCCACTTGAAGAAAAGCGAGTCGGTTAAATTCTACCACTTCTGTAATGGGCAATTATTTCACAATAGC